TAGGCTTTCTCACAGTCTTTTTATAGGAATATCTTCCAACTACAGTGTAATACATAATATTGTTAGCAACATTTGTCCATTCCCTGTGTTGTATTTGAGACACTAAACTTCTGACTGATTAGAATTATATATAACTGGGTTGGTAGTTAACTTTGTACTTTGTTTAGAACTGTAGAACAGTTACCAGCTGCTTTGGGTGAAATTCTGAATAGTGATAATTTCTTCCGTGTGTGCTTTCAGGAGATGGAATTAAGATCCAATTTGCCTCTTAAGTACAAAGTATTGTGAGCTTAGTATCTCCGTTAGGTATCTGCACACCAGCATGTACTTATAAAATAAATGAAAAGCTAAAATTCCTAGGGGAATGAGTAAGAATCACTGTTTCTCTTCCTGTATATATTACTCAATGTCAAAATGGATAAATGAAGTTAGTATTCTAGAAAGCCATTAAGCATTCAGTAGGCGTGAGAAATCTTCATTGAACAGATGTACTGTTATGAATATAGCGTTTATCAGTCTACTGATGATAGTTTACTGTAAGTCTCCTCTTTCAAAATGAAACCATATGTTGAATGGGAAAGAGTGCAAGGGTGTAAGTGGAGATAAGACTGTTTATTAATCTATGCTGATGGGCATTTTGTAGATGAACTTTCTTTTAGTTATTTATTTTACTGTTATGTTATATTGTTATACTGTTATATTTAACAGTATTGCTAGGGGCTATATAAATTCTGATTGTTATACACAGACAAATTTAGAGACACCAAGTATAAAATGATTTAACTGTCAGCTGACAGTTCTAGAAGACAATGGGTCCTGTACAACCAGGTGCCAAAGACCTACCACATCCAGACTTTCTGTAGTTTCCATGTTCAGATGTATGCATAATAGTAGTTTCTAAGGAGTGAGAGAACTTGACTGTCATTCTTTTCTTCACAGCTCTTGGAAATTTAGTGCTACAGAAAGTGTGTTGAATCTTGGAACACGTAAGGAAGTCACATTTCCAGCTATTCCCTAAGAACTCTGAAAGTTTAAGTCTAGAAAATGTCACCTTGACTTGTGAGCTGTCATGGTGTAGGTGTGGCTTTTGACCATGTGTGTCAATCTCCTGTCTTGTTGATTGTCTCCATGAAGCTGCAGTCTTGTTAGAGGGAGCAAGTCCTAACATAGCACAGCTAGGCACTTGAGCTACAACTCACATGGGGATAGGGGAGCAATTCCAAGGTGAAGCTTTCAGCTTTTGGCTGAAAGAACAGTCCTGAGTATTTAGTTGGTTAATTTAAATGAAAACAAGGTTTTCCCCAGAAAGCAAGCTTTTTGTTTAAAAATGTGCATTTAATAAAAATCTAATTTTCCTTTTTCAACCAATGCTGGGAATTATATTCTCTGACAAAACTACTTGAAAATAGATTTCATAACGTAGTGTAAAATCCAGACAATTTTTTCCAGATGACTTTAGTGATATTATTATTCCTAAGCTAGCCATGATAGACCTAGGAAACTCAGAATTAAGGTTAATGAAAGTCCAGCACATTGAAGGTAGTGCAAATACAGTGCTTGAGCATGAAAAAAGATGTTAGCCTTTGCCATCTCATACTGTAACTTGGGAGTTATGAAAAAAGTTACATTATTTTGATTTATTCCAGAGCATCTTAAAACAGCCAGAGCCCACCAAATAACCATGTAGTTTTCAAAAATACTTGGTATTGCCAGAGTAGCACAAGTGCCAGCCAAGCTCAGCTTAGCTGCCTGTGTCAGCTTCCAGCTACCTTCTGTGCTTCTCTGCTCTTCCCCGTCCCCTACTCTATACACAACTGTCTTACAGCCCTTCTACCAGGTTCGTACATAGACCCTTCAGTTAACTACATCTCTGCACACATAAAACAAGTGTGTAAACTCACACAGAGTTATAAGGTTGGGTTTTTTTTCTGATTTTTTCTTTGCGTAATTAACTGAGTATACAACAAATAGTTTCTCAAGAGCATACATGAAATTAATGCTGCTTTTGTAATTTCATAATACAAATGGTGAGTGTATTTTCTTTAGGAATGTCACAGCATTAGAAGTTACTTTTCAAGAGCAACTGCACGGGTTTCAAAGGGCCATTAGCACCACTGAAAAGGTGCTCCTTCTCAGCATTTCAAGAGTGAGGCTCTGACACTCTTGAAGAGGGCCACCTCCCTCAGTCTCATTGTTAGAGTAGGATAGATTTGTCTTATATCTGACATTAATTTTGATCACAATGCTGTCTAGTATGCCTGGAGTTGGAAGCTATTTTCAAAGAGGGCAGCTCTACAGAAGTTTGGAATTACTGTGAAATGAAGAGAATCAAACTTTCAACTACAATTTTTTTCACTCCATTTCTTGAATTGTTTTTAAATCCCTGACCCCATCTCAAGTGATTGAATGTGGTGAGAAGTTATTAACATTTTCTTCCCGAATCTCTCCGTATTATTTTTTCAGTTCCATCAGTTACATCATTAAAATGCAGGGGCTTTTGTGGTTTCAATGGGATGTAATATTTTCAACCCCCAAACTTGCAGGTTTGGCTGCAACTCTGATTCTTCTCAGCTATCCACAGAGAAGTACTTTAAGTAAACCTTTGTGGTAATGATAGTAATGATGGAAAGGCAGAGCTTTTTACATTGAGATCTTACCTTGAGGCCTAAGCTTTTTGCAAAAAATTAGCAATGGAGCTGAGTAACACTTTGTTTTCTCTTTTCCCTGACAAAGGTTGTGAAAGAACTTGACAGTATATACTGAAACAAGTTACAGTTCTGTTCTATTTGTTGTGCACTACTTTAGATGCAAAACCTGGAAGCACTCCTGGCCATTGGCTTTTTAACATATATAAATTCTCGTTCCAAGACATCTGAATAATTAAAAAACTTTTAAACAATATTTACTGCATATTCATTATCATCTGTTAAACCTCCATTTATGGTTTCTGTCATGATTTTTCATTCTTTATGTGCTCAGAGGGAAGCCCACATGACAAGCTGAGAAGAAGTGAGTCACTGGTGGTGGGAGAATTCAACAATACAGCACCACAAGTGGAGATAGGAAATCAATAACCGCATTAAACAGTTTGTGAAATGAACTAGAAGCTGACTAAAGCAAAATATGATTATCACAGTTGGCCTTTATCCAGAACATGCAATTTCTAGTAATTATATGGTCAGTAGCCAAAAAATTTTTCTTTGTTGTTTTTTCATAAAATAAGAACAAAACTTTCATAGAAGTTGGTAACTAAAGATAGAAAGGATTCATGGGGTTTTATGGCAGAATTCTCACTGAAAGTGATTAAAGAAAAGTTTCTATTCTACTCGGTGAGAGTGTCTGGGGTTATTCATGAGGCAGGTGTTCAAATGATGTCACAGTTAATGTTTAGCATCGTTTTTTTCATAGGCCAAATCCTTTCACACCCTTTTTAAACAAAACGTTGGCATTGCACCACACGATACTGTAGAAGAAGTCAAGATTATATGCCACTGAGACAATGTCACATTGCCAACAGGAAGCTCAATAAAAGAAAAAAAAGTTTCATTGTGTTAATTGAGTATAATAAAATCAGAAAATCAACATGAGACATGGTAGGCCCAGTCCTGTTATACCTGGGCTTGTTTGGGAATCAGCAAAGAGGTGCCCATGTGTCAGACTGACAAACAGTGGTAACAGATGGGCTTTGAAATTCAGAACACGCTTAATCAGTTTCATCTGGAAATACAGACAATACTGTAAATGTGAATTGACTGGGATTGATCTGTAAACAGATTAATTTCAAAAAAAGCTCCAGTTCCCAACTGGAGGTTACAGTAACTTTAGGGAAGATCTATCAAAAGCAGTGCTATTAAACTTTACTTCATGGTTGTGTCTCGTTAATGCAGAGCTTTTTTTTTTTTTATTATTTCAAGCAGTTACCTTTTGCATTTTAATAAGTCAAATCACTTTCAAGTTGAAAGTAGCCACCAGTTCATCAGTTTAAAGCAACTGCAGCTTTATACATAAAGCAGAATTCCTTTTGCTGTTGTCAGTGTTTTGTTTCCATAATTAGTGTAGCTCTTCACTGTGACTAAATCCTTGCAGCATCTCTGGACAGAAGCATCAGATTCCTGCTTTTAAGTCAGAAAGAAAACGATGCTACTATGGGATGAAACTTAAAAGGAAAATAAAAGAACTAAAATCATTTCCACAGATTTTGGTACCATCCTGCTCATTTCCAGGAGAGAGAGTGGAATGAATTTCTTTACAAGGAGAGTAGTTAGGCCCTGGAACGGGCTGCCCAGGGAGGTTGTGGATGCCCCGTCCTTGGACGTGTTCAAGGCCAGGTTGGACGGGGTCCTGGGCAACCTGATCTGAATGTGTACGTTTGGTGGCCCTGCTAGGCAGGGGGGTTGGAACTACATGATCCTTGAGGTCCCTTCCAACCCAGGTGATTCTGTGATTCTGTGATTCCGTGAATTCTATCCTGGTTGTACACCAACATGATTGTAGTGGAAGGATCTTATCTTATTTCATTAAATGTCACTGTTAACAGCTAAATGGATGAAGAAGGGCTTGGACAGTGAAAATCACTGAGGGAACCTCCAAAATAGGATGAAAACAGCACTTAATAAACCTTTTCACTTACTAATCTAATGGTACTTTGTAAGCATGTATTTCTGGCTGGTAACCTGAACAGGAAGCCTGTGCAGACCTAGCACACACTCCTTGAAATAAAGGGTGCCCAAGGGCAAATGGTGACCTGACATGTTCCATGGCTGATGCCCGTGACTGAGGAATTCAGTGAGCCTTTGTTTCAGCTTCTTTTTCATGCTTTAGGTAGTAGAAAGCTTTTAAAAAGCAATGCCTATGGAGTAGAACGGTGAGGAGTTAATGCACTGAATACAGAATAGAGATGCAGTGACTGCTGAAAGCTATGGTAGTACTAACCTTATATTTTGCAATGTGAAGTTCTTGTCAGGTTTGATTCTGAGAAAAGCTAAACTTTCTTAAAACAATTTAAAAGCCAAATGACAAAAGGGCTTTATTTCACTAAAAACTTTTCATATGCCATTTTCTGACTGCTTTTAATTCTTTTTTCTTTAGCCCAGCAAACTAAGTATGTTAAGAAAAACACTTTTTCACTCATCTTCAACAACAGTCAGGCTTCAAGGCACTTAAGGTTACATCCAAACACGTTCTTGCTTTGGTATGTTATAGAGATGTTGGTGTGTCACTTAGCAGTTGAATTAACAGAAGCAGTATTTCCCAGGTGAAGCTTCTTTGTCAGCTCATCCCTAGTAGATACGGAGAACAATCCTTCTGTTCAGCAGACTTTCACATGTTAGAATTTTATCTCTGTGCCTTCTCTTTGCCAGATTAAACAACTCAGGACTTTCAGTTCTTACAGGTCAGGTTTTGTTGTCCATAACCTTGTTTCTTCCTCTGTGCTTTGTCTTGAAAGATGATGACCACAGCTGGACACCGTCCTCCAACCGAAGCTTTCTCAGCACCGATTTCTCTGCAGCGATTTGTACGTGTGTCTTCTGCACAAAACTCTTAACTACGGTCTCAGCATGGCATTTCCTTTCTCTGTAATGGTATTGTATTGCAGTGCCTGTTAAATATCTTTGTTCCCAAGCACAAAATATTAGTTTTGCATTGAATACCTGCAGTGTGTCAATTTCTGTCTTCAGTATGAACATTTGAGACCATTGTACTATATTTTTGCCTTTATTACCTCCTTCCCGTACATTTGAACAGCATACTAATTTATCACGGACATGGGGATACGTGTTATTGCTTTCAAAGTAAATATAATTTGAGAGGCCTGCAATCAGTTTGGATAAACACAGCAATTAAGCAGTTTACTTCAGCACCCTAGAATATTGTTTCTGACACAACTGACAACTATGCACTCAAAAATCAGAAGAATAAAAAAAACAAAGACATCAATTTTATCATTCCCTTGTGACTGGGATAGTGGTACCAAGACCTGCTTTGTTTCTGTCTGGTAATTGGAATGCTCTGTAGTCGAGCACTAGCTGACATTACAAACGCCATACTAAGCTATGTTCTCTTTGCAGTTCATGTTATTTTGCACCTTATTTCTTCGTATACAGCCAATATTAGGAAAAGATTTGCTGCTGAAGAATGTTTCTGTGAAAGTAGTCAGTATGTGCTTGTAGAGACTATGTACCTGGAAATAAATGACAGCTTGGTACCTATCAAAATGCCTGATTAACAGAAGTAGACGATGAGAATTCTGGTTCTCTGAGCAATGTGTGCTATTTAGTTGCCTGGGATTTGAAGAAAGTTTCAGCTTCTTTTTTAGTTGGTCTCAGCGAGCTCCTCTAAATTAAAATATTTTAATATACTGTTCATTCTCTTTCTAGAATTGTGAATTCAGTAATTTTCACTTTGACATATAGTGCATTTCTGTTATATAGCCAGCCTAAATTAATCTCCACTAAATAGAAGGTATATGCCCATTAAGAGGCAATAAAAGCCTGAAGCTCCACACTGCCAGGAGAGCCCTCAGGAGTCTGTGGGCTTCCAGGATTTCCAGACTCCTGCTTCCCTGGGAATGATGTGAAATGACTGCAAACTGTATATGTTGCAGATTCAGAGCCTTTTAGAGTGTGGGTAGATAAATATTTTTTAATGTTCCACATTTTCAGAATTCCAGTCTTGGAAATAACATGTGCTGCACAGCTGTACTTGGTTGTGTACTTGTGGTACCTGCAAGGCCAGGAGTTGAGAACTTCTTACATCCCAGCAGGTTGCCGGATTGAGAGTTTGACAGGTGATTTTCCAAGCATGCATTGTTGGCGCTCCTGTAAAATACTGAGGATCGTAGGAACTTGAGATCTGCAACACAAAAGCAGTTTATGAGATTATCTCCAAGCATACCATTAAATATTACATATTGTGATCAAGTCCCATGTCCTGCAACATGCAGGACCTAGCAAGCAAAGTCCTATGATTTGGCACAAAATTCATGCAAGATGCATAGCAGCTATTCACCACCTGATGCTTCACTGCTTTGTCTCAAGCCTGTCCCAAAGAGCCCACAGTTGAGGAGCTATCCCACTTGTATGGCTAGTTTCATTCTTGTTTTTCCCACTGTTTAATTTAACAGGTGAGAGAAGACACCCTTGGATATAAAGCATTGCATTCTTTTGCAAAGATTGTTGAACAACTTCAAGCAGTACTTTCAGGGATATACAAGGGTTATATTTGAACTTGTTAGAACTACAACTTGGTAATCAGTTCTGCATGCTTTAGGCCCTACCCTTCCTATAAATGTTTTTCACCTTTGATTCTGATAACCCATATAATTTTCATTTGCCATACGATAGATAAACAGGCACTGAAATATGGAATTGAATCAAAAATTTAGATTTTAGATCAAATTTGGTTAACAAAAATGTTATTAAACAGTTAACTCTACAGTTAAATAGTTATTGAACAAATATTGCATGAAGAAATTCAATCTCACTCAAAGTAAATATGGGCAATCTATTTGCCCTTATCTAGTAAATATAGGCATTGCCCAAAGTCAGAAATAAGTCAGAAATACAGGAGCTCAAATGAAGAAAAAACAAATATCTGAAAAAATCATTGCCATTTTATATGTCTGGAGGCATGAGGAAGAATTAAAATGGAGAAAGCCCTTCATGGATCCGCAGGAGTGTGAAAGACTATGCAGAATAACTTTGCATCAGTCCATTTCACGTTTTCCCATTTTCATATGAGCTGCTAAAAGTGTATTTCCAGCCATAAACACTTGTTTCTGAGACCCTGGTGCAGCCTACTGAAGTTTTCCAAGGGATGGGGTTTGGACTCGATGATCTCTGGAGGTCCCTTCCAACCCCTACAATTCTGTGATTCTGTGATGAACAGCAACAGTCACAATCTTCTTACTTTGGAGTGGAAGACTGTAGTTTCTGAGGCTTGTGTGTTCAGACAGAGGTGGGCTGGCACAGTTCTACCAACACACAGCCCAGTTTGTATCGCAGCAGCTTAGGACCTGCGCCAGGACCTTAGACTCATAGCTTGCTCTGCCAAAAATTCCAGATGCAGTTGCCATGGCTGTTACTCTCATTGCTTTTAGGGACCAAGCTAATGCTTTGATCTCTTTATATGGATGGACATTTGCAAACGGATTTGACAAACGTTTCTGAAACACAGGAGAAAGTTGTCATTCTGATGATCTTCCAGTGGCCGATGAAAGGAAGTAAAACAGCTGGATGTGTTTGACTACGCTTTGTCTCTTAGGCAACTAAAAGAGGTGCAGGCAGGGAAAGGGAATGAAGGCTGATGAAATAAAGTAGCTGAGAACAAGTGAATGCCATAAATACCCCTCAGCTGGACAAGAATAGCAGTACCTGCTGTCTTTTGGAAAAAGAGTATTTACGTATGTATTTTTTTTTTTCATTCTCAAGACAAGAAACAATACTGCTCAATAGAGAATATCAAATCCACACTGATGTCACATTTGGTCCTCTGTGAATTTTGGCGTTACATGCAGACTTAATACCAGAAATTGTGATATTGATATTGATAGTGATATTGATATATAACACACTTAAAGCTGTAATTTACACACACAGTACAATTTGTCCACAATAAAGAATGGTAGTCAGCAGGGTTGCATTTGGTCTACAAAACACTTAGCATGGAGAGACAGCCAAGTCTCACAAGTTATAGCAAAGAACTAGAGCCTCAGAGAACCTCTTCTGTTCCCAGATCTGCTTCACCTTAGCACAGGAGCTTCAGTGAAGTGCCCTAGTACCACCAAGGCTCTACTTCCTGGCTTTTGAAATTCCTCACTTCTGTTTCATGGGCATTCTGATTTCATGGGCACTCCTTTCCACACAGATATACCAGCTTGGTCTTGAAAGCTACTTGTGTTAGAGACAAACTCAGATTTGATCATCAGCTTCATCTAGAATTCCAGGGCTTGTGCTGCTCTTAAAACAAAACAACAATTCTAAACCAAAAAACCCTAAACTTTTGATATTCAAGTAATTTAATTTTCAGGAGGAACTGACACCATCTAATCACCCACTGTGTGCAGTAAATCTAGATTCACAAGTTTAAATTCTCTATATGGCACGTGCTCCAAAAGCATGTCAAAGTACCTGGTTCAAAATCCCAGCCCCTCCTTCCAGGGCTCATCAACATGGGAGTCAGAGCTCTCCTGGTGGAACATATTGGTTTCCAGCCTTAGCACTGTGATAAACATGGAAAGGCTAGGGTGTTAAAAAAAGGCATTATCAGGGCCTAAGAACTGTAATGGAGTCCTAATTATATTCACATGCTGACGAACAGAGGAGAATCTGATGTCTGCTGCTACTGCTTGTTTTATTACCTAAAATGAAGCTTTAGGAGCATTTCTTCATACTAAACTTAACTTAATTTCTGCTTCTGCTTTTATTAAATGGTGATTTCAAGGTAAATCAAAATTCTCTACAGCCAGGAGATCATTAAAACAGCACTGCTGTGAGAATGTAGTAAGTGACCAGCTTGAGAGCATACTGCTCTAAAATACTTCAAAGGAAAAGAAGCATCTTCAGAGAAACTGCTTAAGCTGCCCTGAGAACCAGTGCTGGTGAAATTGTGATCAGCAATGATAATGGTGTGAAAAACTTCCTGATCTGAGTGAGATAGCTGAGCCCAAGGATCCTGAAGCATCACAGCTTGTTTTTGCTCATTCTGTCCAAGGCTTACAATAATTTTTCAGCACATTTATCATCTCAATCAAATTTGACTGATAGTAGAGATGTCACCTCTTTTTCCAAAGGTTTCAAGCAAATAAAACAAACAAAAACAACCACCCAACAGTCAGGTAGAGAAGGGAGCGTCACTTCTCAGTTTCCCAGCTCATTTTTCATTAGAAATCAGAGAATCTGTCTGGAAGAGAGACGCTGTTAGTTCCTGAAGTGCAGGAAAAAGATTCAGTATGTTCTACTCCTATTTGATGCAGGAGTCAGTCAGCCATGAGAAACTATCCATAGGCGATCAGGCTTAACTAGGTTGAGAGCTCAAAGGTCAATGGGCTCATCAGAATGAAGCATTATTTAATTACATAAAAGATGAATTCAGTCTCATACCAGGGAAGTTCTGACAGAACATAAGCAAATATCCACATGCGTAATCAGCTATGTAAGTCACGTCAAATTAAAGCTTTGTCAATAGTTACGGGCACATTACATTGTTTTTCAAAACAAAACTGCTTTTATTCCACCTCCTTCACTACCTTCCTTTAACAATCACTTAGCCAATCTGTCCTTGCTTCACTAAAGATAAGCACAAAAAATATTTGAAGGACTAATAGGTGCTAATGCAGGGGAGACCCAGCCCTGTTTTGGGTGTAACGTGCCATTTTCTTCTTTTGCTCTCTATCGCAAACAAAGAATACTTTCTTTTCTATGACAAGAGACAAAGGTTGGCTAGATTTAGAACTCATATTCCTGTAACTCTTATTTTTCAATGGCTCCTAAGCTATCTTAATGTTCTGCTTCATAGAAACGTGTCAACAATAGAAATTCCTGCTATGGAAAATTTCCCTAGTTAGCTGCTCCAGAGCTCTAGAGAGTTTCTCAAGGGAAAGGTAGAAAGTACAATATAACTGCACCTCCCATTGGCATATGGCATTTCAGTCGCCAGGCTAACAGGTGTTTCCCAGGTCATACACACAGGAGGAGGCACAGGCCTCTCTCCTGCAGGAGCTGCAGATCTCATCACACTTCCTCCTTGTGTAACATCACAGATAAAGGCAGTCGACCAACCTGATTGTCATCTAAGGTCAGCTTGCTCCTCCTCTTCTTGCCATTCAAAATGATTTCCTAAGGTAAATTTTTGAGGAAGAAAAATTCTAGCACAGACACAAGAGGTTGCAGCTGATTTAACCCATTGCTGTATGCAGTGGCAGTAGACAGCACAGAACTCAGGGAGCTTCAAAAGAACCATACCATCCAAGTTGCAGCCAAATGTAGCTCAGGAATGCTGAGCATCAGACATGATCCAAGTCCTAGGATTGAAAGCCTTATGACTTTAGCAAGTTCTTTAAACTTCAAAGGAAGGGAAGAAGTGCTGTTGGTCCCAGTACTAGCTAAAGAAGGGAAATATTACTGGATAAACAGAATGTTAGTTGCAGAAGCAGACATAATTTGAAGAACTATGTATGCATAGAGAGCAAGAAGAGCATTCCACAGGCAAATAAAAGAAGTGAAAGAAATGGCACAGTTAGACCAATAGCAGAATAATCAGTACAGAGAATTTGTTTGAAAGCCAGTGAAATCTATGCAAAGAATGGCATTACATGTAAGAGACACAAATCCATTTTCAATGATGCTAAATTTCTAGAAAAACGTGGACAGATTTTTAGCTATTTTTAAAATGTTAAAAAAAATTAAGCTGTCTGTGACCTTTTGGAAGATAAATCATACCATCACAATGCTGAAATAACCAAATCAGCCTTGAAGACTGGTTGCTTCTGCTGAATACAATGGGAGTTCTGCCTTAGACTGTGAGAGCCCACAGACTCTCTCGGCATAAGCTGGAGAGAAGAATATAAATCAGCTGGAGCAGTGTTTGTGGAACATGGTGCTGATTTTAGTGATGGCTTTTTCCATACACCAAGCATGAGATCATGTACAGGGCTCTATTTACATGGTGATGTAATTTTACAGCAGAAGCTGGAAAAACAAGGAGGGTATATCATGTCCAGCATGATTTATGCCAAACTTTCCACAACTATGCAGCCTCCCTCCCATGTCATACATATTTTGGCAGGATGAAATTAAGAAATGGAACAGCCCTGCCCCCAGTTTCTAGACAACCTTGTGCTTTGGCTGCAAAAGTAACTCATAACTCAAAAGCAATCTCCATTGGGCAGACAGTCTTTAAGTCAAACAGCACATGTGTTTAACTGAACGACAAAATTACCTTTTGTTTTATACAAATGTCTTCCCAGCAAAAGGACAATCCAGGGCTGTCTAATTGATTTAGCAGGATGGCACTGTCTGCATGGTGATCACAAAAGGCACTCAAATACAGTTAATTTCCAACTAACGTTTAATGGCATTGTGGTTTACAAACTGCTACACCCACTCATCTTTTGAGGTAGAATCTTGCATTTTTTTTCCTTAAAAGGAATGCCATGTCATGCCACTGAGATATAAAGACTTGAAAAATGAATTTGTTGGTCTTGTTTGCGTACAGAATGCTCTTAATCATAAACAAATAAAACAGAATTGTTTAATTTAGTAGTGCAATTATATACACACATTCTAAAAAATCTGAATAAGTTTAGTCTAGGGGTGGTTCTAAGTAGGCACAGATCTCTCTTGGAATAACATATAATGCAAGGCCATAACTGTTGTTCCAATTAACCTGCACACATATTATGCAGATTTAAATAAAACCCGTGCAGCTTCTGAACCTCTATTATTTTCTAGAAGTAGAGTGAGTCCCTAACTAGAAGCAACAGGAAATCTAACTATGAACCATGAGTACTTTGTATCTACAAACTATGTGACAGCTTTCACAATAGTATTTTTTGAAACATCAGTAAACCTGGATATAACCTGTAATGAAAAGAGTAGCTGAAAATGCCAGCATTCAAGGGGCAACATGGAGCTGTCATTCTTAGAAGAGTGCTCTGAGACATCTTTTTTCTTACTTTTGCATGCATCCTTGATTAAATAAGCATCTTTGCTAATTTATGTTTTCAAGTGATGCATCATTTTTCTCTTCAGGAAGACTTTCCTAAATCTTTACTTTCTCCTAAATCTTCAGCAACAGTGTTGGAAACATATCTGTAGAGAGATAAGAGAAGAAGAAAGATAGAACTTTTTCCTGAAGAAGATGGAATTTCACACTAGTTGAGTAATTTCAGATCTGATGAGCAATGGAACAAACTCTTTTCTTTTCCCAACTATTAAGAATTCATAAAATTATGACATGAATATACAGCAATATATACAGCAATTCTCAACACAGATGAAGAAGGCCTTAGATTACGTTGTTCACAGTGCTATAGGAGCTGTATACACCTTACAGAAGAAGCCATAGATATCCATGAGGTGTTAGCTATCAACACCCACACACACAACACCACATCAAAAATTGTTTCATTCTCAGCATTTTCTCAGAGAAAAAAAAAGTAGGACTTGAATTTCAATTTGTTATGCTGGTAAACACTGGTATACACAATTAAAAAAAAAAAAAAAAAAGGATCATTTTGTGTTTATAACTTTTATTGTAAACACACAGATTAAATATTAACATAGGAAAAATGAGACATTACTAGTTAGGCCTCCTAAAGGCTCAGCACCCTAAAACAGCCAATGAAGTCCATTTTACACAATATCCACTGAGTTGGCAATCATTGCAGAGCCACTTTTGTGGTAATTGAAGCCTCCAAAACACTGGAATATTTCCTGTCCTCCCTTTCAAACAGAACAGCATTTTGCATAAGGAAACAGTTAGTTTGCACTTTTGTTTACTGCAATACAGCCACAACGAACAGAAAGATCCTGTATTCAAGTAGAGAACTCCAAGAACATCAGCTTAGTCCAATTCCTTCTTTCATTTTACACGGCAGGCCAGGCTCATCTCAAGTACTGTAACTGTGTGGATGCTGACATCTCCCTGTACACAGCAGGGGGGTTGAAACTAGAGGATCATTGTGGTCCTTTTCAATCCAGGCCATTCTATGATTCTACGATCTCATGTCCAGATGCACTGGGCCAACTGGGAGCTTTGCAAGGAGCATCCATCAAAGCAAAAACCAACGTCTGTTCTCCAAATAACATGCAAAAACCATTTCACTTCATATATGAGAATGTGTCCAAAAGAAGATTATGTACAACTTAGGGAAAACCCTTTTGTTTGCCCATTTAAAAAATCATTAAAAAAAAAAAAAAAAAATCGAGATGGCTGAAATTTTAAAAGCTTGAATTAACAACTAAAAAAAAAAAAATTGAAGAGATTCCATTTCTTCTCTTGGCCTTTATTTGAAGTCAGAAAGGCTGAAATAAAGAAGCTTTGAGCTCTTTGCTTAAAAACAACATGCCTTCCTGTTGCAGTGCTTTCTCTGCCCCCCACTGTTCCTTTGCCTTCAAGCAGTGAACGCTCTCACCACCACTCCAGTTCTTGTGTCAGATGTTTGAATGTGTTCCAAGTTATAAAAAAAGATACTGTTATTCACTGTCTACACAAACACGTATTTGAGCAGCTCACATGGCCAGCACTAGATGTGTGATGGATTTAATGGAATATATTTTTGTTCGATCCAGTAGTTAACGTAGTGCAAAGGCGTCTTTGCTTTTAGATGCACATTTCATCTATTACATAATCAGCATTTCTCCCTTCTTAAAAATAGCTATGAATAGACTCCAGAAAATATGGGGACTAGTAGAAAAATAATCTTAGGACTTTGTAGGAAAAACACCATTTGCAGCAAAAATATGGTAATCTCTTCTTGCTTGAAACAAATAAGAAATATATACTTCATCAGTAAATATTTGCTTACTCCTTAAGAACATTAGTCTGGCTTTTAGTAAAGTAAGCAAGTGGTAAAACAATGTTGATTAGATAGGAACTTATTTACATGTAAGAATTATGCATAATAAACTAATTTATGAAACAAACAAACAAATCTGACTCTGATCTTAAGCAGTATTCTCTAACAGTATTCCCCTTATTCCTTCCAGCACTCACAAAACAGTGAGGCTAGAGGGCCCACTTAAGAAGATTACAAATAGTCAGAGAAACTTTTGTATTTCAGTTCCTCTGTTTAGAATAGAGAGAAGGATGGATGAAAACCCAAGATACTGGCATGTCGGTGTGCTGCACAACTCTTCACTGGAAGCAGAGATTAGAAAAGCCTTTGGGTGCTGCGTTATTTTACAGTTCCCTTCAGGCCTCCTGCTACAGCCACAGCTTTCCCACCTGCTGAGGCACATTACTCTGGCCAAATGCTGTCAATACAGGTGTGGCCTGAGGCTCAAAAGTGCCTAGGTTCAAGCTGCTGACCGAGCTGATTCCACATGGGCTGTGAAGTCTGCCAAAGACATGACTGTAGATGTGAAGATGAAGTCTGTAAATAGTGCAAATGACGTTGATTCACACTCTTTCTCTCCAGTACTGGATTTCTATACTCTTACAGAGTCTAAAAAGGGAAAAAGAAGTGGACTTTCTAAAACTGAATGAGTTCTCTTCCCATTTCCTAAGTCTTCCTCTCAATAGTATTTAGGCAGTATTTCTCTTCAGGAAATTGAGTTTTTCCAGTTAACATGGAGGTGTGATAGAATGGAATCCTTTTGAACAGTTTGTGTAGACAATATTTTTTTTCTTTTTATTTATATTATTTTGAAAGACATAAGAATATCTTTGTGGAAAAAAAGTCCTCAGTTTCATCTCCAGTCTTCAAGACGGACCAATGCTGTACCACTTAATAACAACTTTTTCAGGATTAGCAATAGTATCTTCCCACTGCTCTACTGCTTCACTGTTATTGCTGTCAGAACTTATCCAGACCTGCAAGGAGAAAAAAGAAACAAAACAAAGTTTACCTGATGTAACACAGAAGTGCAGCCTATGTTAGTTCCAAATAAATTCCATGGAAGTGTAGAATGAGATGCGACACGTAGACTGTGACCAAAGCATGAACAACAAATACAGTTCTGTCAGGACTAACATAACTTGGCTTCCAACTGGGAACACAGGGAGTCTGGGTTTATATTTAGTCGCTAAACAAATAGGAGTTTAGAAAGCTCACTACACTCTAATGTTTTGCTAGTTAACAAAATGTTTTAGGTCAAGCATTCCTTGCTTCATTCAAATTCATGTGCTGGGGTCAAGGGCCCATGAGGGCAGCGATGACTCTCTGGACCATGCAGTCAAACTCCAGCTGGCTGCAAGCCATCTGGCACTCAGATTTAGCTGTCCAGCCTTTTCATGAGCATTTAAAATCACACACTCCAACAGACAGGGCCAAACCTGCATTCCACAGAGGTTACTAACGTGCCTGTAGCACACATAGTCACGCAGTAAGAGTCCATCTCTTCACAATATTAAACTAATGGATAGAAGCCATTAAACAAGGAAATAAGGTACAAGAAGGAAGTTTCCCCCTAAAAATTATCACCAGCTTCGACTGCCAAAAAGAATTCTGATTATGTAAGTAGGTATCATCATTTATGGGACTCCATTTCCTGCACTCTTCCAAGAATTTTTTTTAATACTTCTCAGAAACCTTCACCATGAAGTACATTTAGCCCACACTGTTGAGACATGATTCCTTAAGTGAGAATAATGTCTTCCAGAATACCACAGGCAGCCGATATTTCATCCACAGAGAATCAATATACATCTTGGTCATGATTAAAGACATGCTCATAAATGCAACCTAATCAAAGTGTTGTCTGCTTTAGAACAGCATCCAATTAATCACCATTCTCTAAAGAAAGCAGTTAATAGATCTAGCCATATTCATCTTTTTCCAGCCACCCAGCCAATTGCTCAATGTATGCTTTTCCCTGAGCCATATTTTATGTCTTCATGTGTATGTGGCAATGTCTGCCTGCATGAGCTGAAACAACCTTTTCCAAATAACTGAAGAGCAGAAGTAGATCATTTGCTCCCTGTAAAAATAAGATCCATGATTAAATGCAACTCATCAGATTGAGATGACCTCACATACTGTTAACTGACTGCAAAATCATACTCAATTAGTTTTGCCCCAAGGTATTACAACTGAAAAAAACGAGTTTCTTTTCCCATTCCAAATCTAATTCTACTAATAGGAAACACAGAAAGATGGAATACATGGGACATTATCCTCAATAAAATGGAGGAAGATCACATAACTCATTTCTGTAGCAGATCAGCATCTCCTGAAGTACATGTGCCCAGCGTGCACAAAATACATTGCCAGAACAGGAAACTACCATTTTCTGTACCCAAGGACAGAGTAATCCATCCTTCAGTTAGCAAATGACTTTACAGTTGGAACCTCAAAAATCACTCCACATTATTAATTTATGTATATATTAAAATTCTCTTAGTACATCTATCTGATCAGAGAATGCACTGAGCAGTTGGAACAGCTAAGAAATAAAAGTAGAGAAAGAACAGGCAGGCTGATGGTAAGAGAGAGAATATGAGGACAGAGAGAATAAAAAGAGACCAGAATACCAAGTTTTATGAAGTACAGTGATTAAATAAGTATGATTACAGAAATGCTTTTGAATACATACTACAGAGGTTCCAGCTGTTAAAATAAAACAAAAAACTCCCTTCAGCCAAAAAATCATTTTCTGTCTGTTCACATTATAACTTTTGTACACTTTCAGAATACTGTGCTGACTACGTGTCTGTCTTGCTCAGAAGAGAAATCTGCTGTTGTTGCTGTTGTATTTTTTCCTACACACATCCTCTTTCTGTGGAGGACACTGTAGGTCATGGAGCTGCTGTGAATGCTGTGTTTGTTTTCTTTAGAAAGCCTAGAGGCAAGGACAACATCATTCATGTGTTCATAAGGAGGAATCTTTCATGTAATAACTTTCCACACAAAAAAGACTTAAGGACTTCCTTTGTGAAGGAAAATCAAATGTCAACTTCCATTCTGATGCTTGTGATGTTCAAGAGCCCACTACCATTTTTTCTTGAGTTATATCAAGAAGTTTATTCAAATTCACTATTTCCCTATACAGCACCTTAAAGTATTTTTTAATATGAGTTTTAAAAAAAAAAAACAAAAACCAAAAAAACCAACCTTGCAACTGGATTTAAGAATATCAAGACTATCATGCTAGTTAGCAGAAACCAACCTGTCCTAGAAAGTGCTTTCTTCTCACTGAGCTTCTGCTGTAGAGTTTGATAAGAAAACTGATTCCTTGTTCAGCTTGGCTAACTGGAAAAATCATCATTTCTCTCCACTTCACTTGGCCATTAGTGGACTTGACGAGACGAGTCTTCTTCTTATAGATCAGCCCTTCTGTACTAAACATTCCAACTTTCACAAAGAAACCTTACAGAAAGAAAAAGAAAAGAAAAGAAAAAGAAAGGGAAGAAAAAAGGCACAACACATAAAGGATTACTCACAAACACATCCAAAGAGGAACTGACATGTATGGTTCAACAATAATTTCTCAAAAGCCTGGCCAAAAGAACTGTACAATAGCTTTCCCGAGTAGTCACACACACTGAGTATGTTCACTAATGTTGAACTGATTAACACACATCCAAACAAGTGCAAGCTAATGCTATTCTATGTCAGGATTAATTTTGGGATAAAATCTCCCAGGATACGTAATGTGCAGCTTCAAACCAAACAAAATGTAATCAAATCAGACATCTATGGAAACAAGCCTTGGCAACGGAAACCTACTGCACAACATGCTAGTTTGAGGTTTGTAAGGAATGCTATGAATTGCCAACCCATTTGATCAGTAATTTACCTGCTACAAATGGCTTCAGACAGCTGATGTAACTTACTTAAAGACAGCGGCGTAGATGAAATTGGAAGATTTTGTGCTTCAAGAATTTGTAACTGAATCCTCCTGTTTATTGCTTGAAAACAACTTCCTATTTGAAGTTCTGTGCGGCACACCTACAAGCAGAAGAATGTTGCCATAACATCTGGATTAAGTTGCTTATAAGCTCAGGAAATGCAGGAATTCTGTTATATGTTGGGCTCACTTGTTCCTATCTGGGATTTCCTGGACAGAAATATAAGTATGTGTTGTATATACATCCTGCAGATGCACGGTAAGTAAATGCATCTTGCACTTGTCACAGCTGCTGTACATGTGCTCCACTGACGCACTGCTTGTGTGCAGTGCACGTATGGCCCTAATGGGCAGCAGCCAAAGGTACTGGAAAAATAATTGAGTCCTCAAGTTTCACCTGGGAAGGATTCCTCAGTGGTAAAAGTGGACACATACAGGGAAAACCAGACATGCAGTAGAGCACTACTGAATTGATGTGAGAGAACGGGCATGCTTTACTAACAGAAAAATCTTTGGAATTCTCCTTCCCCTCTTTTATATTTTGCAATCTGAAAATATAAACAACTATAAGAAGACAAAGATTCATTTCACTTCTGTTCGGTTAAGAGACCCAAATTCTCTTCACACCTCAGCCACACGCATTCTGTGCAAACTTGAGAGGGAGCCACTGACTCAGCTCCGTTGGAAAGAGAAAACTGCTGTCTGACAGGATAGTTCATGGGCCTGCAGCATCTGAAGAGCTCTCAGATACTATAGTGAGGAAAGCCAACATGGATAGATTCAGGAATTTATGCTAGAAAGAAGTGGCATCTGAAACAGCTTTATCTTCTGCTTTCTTTGTAGAAAGTTACTGCTTTTGAAAAAATACTTGTTAGAAGTACAGATATAAAGTTTAACTTCTGTTAGAAATCAAGATTGTCACTCATATTACTCAGACATATTTAGATAAAATTTGCTTTTGAATTGCCAATTCAAATTTAATCTGTTAAAAATACAAATGTCTAGACAATCTGTAGAAGAAACAAACAAAGTGGGAGAAGGGGGAAAGGAATCCCACTGTGAAAATGGCATTTGACAACCACCTGTTTTGTATTACTCTAATGGAAATGAGCTGTCTGAATTATTACTTCACAGCATGTAATCTGAACATTAACAATAATAATATGTATGTGTTATGTGCAGTTTTAAGCCACTGAAGATCTTAGTATTTTCTTCCATAATAAAAACAAATCCCATTTGCTGTGAGCTCTTGCTGTGAGTCCTAAAAATTTTCTGATGCTTTTGTGGTATGAAAAGGCAATTACTCGGTGTCCTGAAAAGTCTTCCTAGAATGTCCCTCCCTCCAGCCATAGGCCATGTTGTTGAAAAGCTAGTTCTAGCTTTTTTTCCTAGAAGCAGCTGTGGTTTATGATCATAGCAGGGATGTGCACAGTTCAGAAGTGCCTCTGTTTTTTTTTTTTTCTTCATCTAATGTTCCTCATCCAAGAAAGGAAAAAGAAACAACCACTTTGTTGTTAACACTGAATTATTACCAAATGATTTTACTTCCATTTTCAACAGCATTATCTGGTCATGCAACAACATGCATTTATGGAACCGGCACTTACAGGTGCTTTGGAAGGAGGAGATACATCCAGCCAATGATTTGACTCCTCTGCGCTGAGCTCCCGCAGTGACAAAGAGCACTCTCCAATCGTTCTCTTCCTAGGAGTCTGCGTCTGGATTTTAAATACCAGTCTGACAGTTTGAACACTTTGCAACTTAATAGCAAACACAAAAGTTTCCATAAATTCAATGTCCTAAAAAGAAAGACACAGGTAACATGATCTCAGTAAGAGAGTCCCGTTAGATTCCAAACCTAGAAACAAAGTTTTCAGGGTCAGTTGGCCACTGCTGGTGGATACCATTTCAAGCTGTCATGAAGAGATGTGTTTTTACAGTGGTAAACTCCTGCGGACTTTTTATCTCTCTGTCACACCCCAGGCAGGGACAAGGTTCTGGAATCTTGTTCACTACCAGGACAAGCTGACACCTCTTCTGTGGCTTTACAACAGCATGCACACATTGTCATAGAAAGTTGTCCTGAGGCCTTTTGTTTCAGTCTCTCTGCTCATTTTACATTCTTTCACCTTTGACTCATATTATGGGTTGTTTATGTTGCTTCCCTTGTGTGTATATTTTCCCTTGTATGTTTGTGTATGTTTGGTGGACCTGCTAGGCAGGGGGGTTGGAACTACATGATCCTTGGGGTCCCTTCCAACCCGGATGATTCTGTGATTCCCTTCCCTCCTCCTGGCCCCAACCCCTTTATCTTCCTATACTGCCATCATCAGGAATCCTGTGCCTCATGACCAATTCTTACTACTTTTTGCATGGACAAAGCACGGCTTATTTTTGCCTACTGCCTTAGCGAAGGGCTGGAAGTAGTACTTCATCCTCTACCTTCCCCAGGTGAGTTTGCATCTACAATTATGTTCAGATTTCCTCCATTCCCCCTCCATTCAAATACCAAGACCAGAATGGTTCACGATACTCTGTAAGTGCATCCCATAACTGTCCAGCAGATCTGGGAGAAAAGGAGGAATACAGTGGAGGGCAAAGAGGGAAGAAATTGGAACAAGCCTTGTCAAAGGATTTTGAGAAGTTAGAAATGGAAAGGAAAAAAAAAAAAAAAAGGAAAAGGAAAATAGTAACTGGAACCTAGACAGTTACCACGGCAAATATAATACAGAACTGGGTGTTGGCCCATTACTTTTGGGTGGAAGGTTTCTTGGTGTTTTGTTTTTTTTTGTGTTTTTTTTTTTGTTGTTGTTTGTTTTTGTTTTTTGTTTTTTTGTTTTTCTTCTACTTACATTGCAGCCTTCCTTTGCAGAGGATTTGAACTGCACAGGCTTGGGCAGCATGAGAATTCCCTTGACATAGATTTGAGGATTTTCCCCACAACTGGAAGGCCAGCTCAGCCCTTTGCACTACAACATTGAAAACAGAGTCAGCTGAGATAATGCACGCCACCAGCTTTCAGACAAGTTAGAAACCTAAGGTCTACACTGCCCCAGAATTATACATAATTCCTGTAATACTGAATGCAAGTCAGAGCCAGGGTAAGAACTATGTCAGTTCAGAACATTTAATAATTCGCTTCTACAGTGGAGAGTAAAAGTTCTTCAGCAGATTTTAATGATTTCACTATGTGGAAGTTCAACAGCAGATAAATCATGAAATTCCTTACGTAATCTTGCAAATGTATCATTTGGTATAGTTACAAGGTTTCTGAGTAATAGAAGTTCCACTGCCTAAAAATTATTCACAATTCCTGGAAATGTATGAAGCAGCCAGCGTCACACCAGTTAACAAAAAACCCACAAGAACACAAGAATACAGCCTCAAAGTTCTGCCCTGAGAGAACTACTAGATTTGGTCAGTTAAATGGTGCCTCTAAAATTTGCTTCAAATTACTGTCTCCAAATTTCCACAGGAAAATTTCTACAGCAGGACCAACTCTATGACCTGCTCATCTTCTTTATGCACATCCAACAGTTTCTCACCCCCAAACAGGAACATTTGACTGAACTGTGCTTATATTAATACTTGAAGGTATTATTATTAATTGTTTTTCTCCTCAAAGTATTCCTTAACCCTCATTATTCTTGTTAAATCTGATTCTCTGGTATTTGAACAAAAAGCATAGTAAAATAGCCATTTGAATAAATTATAATCTGGTTATTAATATTCACTTATTTATATTTACTGACATGCAAAACTGTGATCCAGATCTGCTCCACAGAAGGAACGTAGCACAATTTTACATTCAGTCTTCCAAAGTCTCGTTCATCACCTGATAACGTAATGGTATCTGTGGGGAAAAAAAAAAGGCCAATTGGTGTTTCCAGAAGCAATGCACTATGATAAAAATTCATTCCAAGAATAAAGGAACTCATTAGCAGGTGGACTGCTTATCTTTGAAAATTTCTCTGAACATACATTTGAAATATCCTAACGCAAAACTTTTAGGAAAAAGATCCATGAAGTCTTGTTGCCTGACCTGCATTTTAACTCTGCAGCTTACCACAGGTGTCTCTACTGAAGTCAATAACTTGTGTTGCACTCAAATACCTTTCAGAAACAAAAAGAGCACTTTCCTGAGACACCCAAAACACATTCCAATAAAAACAACTTCCCTTAGATTAATCACTTCCAGTGTTAATAAGCTGGTCTGCTATTTGTCTTTCTCAACCAGCCTAAGAAACATTTCACTGCCTTTTCTCTGAGAGTCACTTAATATCCAGAGTTTCTTTGTTGTGTTGAGGAGACTGGATGAAATTCTGACTTTTACTAGGAAGACTTCAATGGGGACTTGATTTTTAAGGTTTATTTTGCATCACCTTGACTTCTTCAACACTTCTCTCAAATATAGCAGGTTTGTATACAATTTTCTTGCATAATCCTTAATGTAATAGAGGTATTGGAAACCAAACACCTCCCACAGAAAAATATTGATAAATGAAAAAAAGACAAGGCTTGTGACCAAGGTGCCACTTTCTATTCTAACAGAAAATCCGTCATGTCTTCTTTCATTGGAATGGTAAATCCAGGGGTTAATTTTTCAAAAGCATGAAAACTTGCATTCCTGAAAGGCCCATTTGGCTCAATCTCCTGACAACAGGAAGGCACAAGGCCAAAACTCTTAATTTCAAACTGCAAAGTAATCCCTATTGACTTGCTAATCATATTCATCTCAAAAATAAATAGATACACAAAATAAAAATCAATGTTAGAGACAGCTCAGTATTGCAAGTACAAAGGAGATACTGCATTACAAGTTAAACAAACAAAACATCACCCAGACTCCTGTTACTGCCATGTGAATCCTTTCTGGAGGAGGTGCTGCTAGGTACACTGGAGACTGAATCATATCTCTGCAGAGGGAAAAACAGCAAAACATGCCCCTTCTATCAGAGCAACAGATGCAGAAAGTCATAGAGATTCTATCATCAGACAAGACATGACGGAAACAAAACAAGACATTTCAAATCTTTAACCCGTTCCCTACCAATCTGATGGTCCAGCATGGAGTTACTATCTTGATGCAAAGAATAAGTACAGGACATATTGGACCAACGGATTTTTTCACTCACTGGTATGTACACAAGTTCATAGGAACAAATTTATTTAGGAACAAATAAATAAACATACAAAATGCAGCATCATTTTTTGCATAAATATAAACTTCTAATGTTCGTCTTTTCAAGTGAAGGAAAAATAAAAAAATCACAAGATGAGAAACAACAGACTCTTGTCCTATAAAAGCCTACTCAAGTTTCTCAGCAGCTTTGTTGGACCTGAATAGCAGTAACCAGAGGAGACATCAGCAAAATAAACACTTGAGGTTAGCGAAGACATTGAACTTTTCCCTTTTACCCCTCCAGTGCAATGCCCTTCAGTGATTCCTCTGAAACAGTGTGACTGAAACCATACAGCAAATGTACTGAGTTTTCAGTACAACCTAAGTGACAGCTAAAGCATGAGAAATACTCACCTTCATGAATCGATGAGGTGGGCTTCTGAGATCAAACATTGAATGACTTAAATCAAGTGATCCAGGCAAAGCACTAGTTCTTAAATCACTAACTAAAAAGACAAAAAGAACAGTACAAACTGTGTCATTGCTAGAAAAAATATACTAAGAAGACTTTTTAAAATTTAAGTAGAATCATAGCAGAAATAAAACCTGACTAGATGATAACTAAGGGTTTTCTCCTCCTTTCCTCACTTCCCATTCTCAAAATACTCTCCTGAAATGACAAAACAGTGAGAATAAGCCAGGTGAGCATTCCATTTCTGAAACAGTCAAACCTGTTCACATTGGCAGCACTGGCAGAGTGGACAGTCTGCTTCAAAATTACTTCCACAACAGAAATGGTGTTTTCAGGAGATGCTCGAGCCCTTGTCTTTATGTAAGTCTTTACTCCAGATGCACTTGAGTGACCTTTCTCCTTTTTTGAGCTTACTAAACAAACTAATGAAGTATTTACTTAGTTTAAACAAACAAAGAAACAGATGATGAACTGAAGGGAAGATGTTTAAGACAATTTTATGAAAACCATTGGGCTCCCACCACAGTTGCTTGCAAAAGTCCAGCAAAACTCTACGTATTAAAAGCTACTTAAATTATATGTGTTTTGTTCTCTTAAAAAAATACGTGGTCTTTCAATTTAGTTTCTGTGGTGATTCAAAATTATTTTTAAACAGAGCACTGACTGAAAGATTTTCCCCAGCTGTAAAAGAAACATGCAATACCTTTTGACAAACACATCTTTAAAAATGCATGCTGCGGCCAGCATCCATCTTGATGAAGAGATGTATACATTTCTTTGAGTGTATGAGTTTTCTGAATAGGTTTCCATAGCTAAACACAAACATCTACTTTACTGTAAACAGCATGCATTATATACAAGATACATATACCTATGAACAGTACAGAAGTTTTTCCTGGACAGCCAAACACTTGTATGTAAACTTCTAATACCGTGTCACAGCCCTCCCTTGAACATGATTAAGCAGTGAGAAGTGGGGACATTTCTACAGCTTAAATAGCAAACTACATAAAAGCTGGCACATGGCACAGCATCACTTTTTTTTTTTTTTTTTTTTTTTTTTTTTTTTTTTTTTTACCTGTTCTCATAATCTGCTCCTGACTGTTTTTAGTGCCTTTTTCCCTCTCCACATAACATTCCCCAGGTATTCCTCCAATCAACAAACCACCCTATTTCCTTGTTCATTCTCCCTCAAATACTGATAGCTAGAATTTTCAGTACTGTATCCTGTTGTGGATCAGAGGCAGCTACCCTAGCTTGCTTTGCTATTCTATCTACAGTCATGTGATGCATGCAAGCCCTGTTAAGCCCCTAAAAGATAGAATGTACCAGCACAACTGGATATCAAGCAGAACCAGCTCCCCAATCAATTCCCTTGCCAGGAAGTGCCTGTAGTACACAGACCAGTTTGAGGATTGCCATAATCAAACATCTTCTGTACAATAATAGCTTTATCTCTTACCTACTGGCCTTGAAAAAAAAAGAAAGATGGAAGAGGGTACAGTTCTTCTCACCTGATCCATATAATTTCCTATTATCTGATTTGGCTTGGAAACGCCTAATCTGGTCTGGTGAAACATGATGTTCCAAATAGAATGGGTTGTACACATCATAGCGGGGCCACTGGTACACACCGCACAGTTCTGCTTTCCGGTCACCAAAAGAAGCTCTGGCAGATTCTGTGAAGCACAAGTAAACATCATATGCAAGACCTCCAGACATAACACACGCTGCCTGCGTTCATAAGGCAGTCTGAGTGCCTTCAGGGCAAAGGACAAAATGTTTCATTATTATCTGCTTCAGCGAAAGGAAAAAAAAAAAAAAAAGAAAAGAAAAGAAAAAAAAACAGGCATATATTATGTCAGATTTCAAGAGCATGCTAGAAAATACTGAAATGAAATCGGCCATATAAATACATGTATGTCCTGTCTTGGTGTTCCATAATAAATGCCCAACCGTTAAAATACAGATGACTTTAAAGACAGAGACCAAGATGGAAATCTTTAGAAAGGTAGGTCCATGAATAAGGAAAATCTCTGTCTTAATTGGTTAAGTGATCCCAGGACATTCCTACTTGACTAATGAGCCCCCAGATTTCCAAGAGGGTCTTGTATGGAAAGATAATACAACTTATGACTGTAACCTCCTTGTCATCCAACTTTCATAGGAAGTCTGTCAGTGGCAAATGACTTGAATTGTTGGCTGAGACACAAGGACACAGGCTTGAGAAAGCCTGAAACCCAGCCATTTGCTCAGTCCATTATGACACAGCTGCCCTACTATTCTTCATAGTTTTCTCAGAGAATACACACACCTCCTGCTCAGCAGAACAGTAAAGAACATTGCTCTAGACTTTCATTTTGTCCGAAGCTGAAAGAAGCCTTGTGTAACAGTCCAGAACAGAAAGGAGATGGGTGACCTGGACTCTGCTAAGCTCTGACATCTGCTTCCTTCACCTCCCCAGATTTCAGCCTCCCTGTGAAATAGCTCCTTACCCCATTATGACATGCCTTCAATTCTGTATACACCATCCCATAAGAGGCAAAATATTATTGTGTATACATAGCCACAACAACCACCTTTCTTCCAGGTGACAGTAACGTTAAAAAGAACAGCGAGATGGAATGGAACATGAGAGTTGATAAGTGAAGAATTCAAGTATAGTGGGCTTGAGCAGAACCTAAGTTAGAGTGAATGTTAGAAGTGAAGCTGTAAAGAATTGCTACACAGCAGGTGACAGTTAAATCAGTGTTCTGGCCCAGGAACACTCTCACTTCTGCTAACTTACTTCTGTGAGAACAGGAGACAAGCTGCAGTGAGTACTGAGAAGCCCTGCCAGAACTTAATTGATTTCAGAAAGGATGCCAAGAGCTTACACTGAGCATGTTCTGTTTCAATAAAGGAAAATGGCAGACATGCAAAAAAAATGGAATGGAACTGAGATTTTTAGAACTTGGGCTGCTATGGATATTTAACAATGATCAAAGAAACAAACACTATAAATGTATTTTTTTAATATGCTGGTGCTTCGGTAAATGTAAAAAAGGAATGACAACACACTTTCCTGTATTTAGTATATCTCTCTAAAAAGTAAACTTTGCATTTTTAAACATAGCTTTAGTGAGGCTTAAAGAGTTGTGTTTCCAAATATACTTATTTTTTAAAGGAAATGGAAGCTACCTATTTGACATAAGATCCACTTTTCAAATATTTATGCAAGAATTTAAAATATTTGCTCAAGAGAAGCAATTACAAACAGCCTAGCCATCCTGCCAGATTATCTTCTGATTCCATAGCCCAAGGGCCAGTCTGTTCACTAGGTCCTTCAGAAAGGCTGAAGCATAACCCAATGAAGACAAGTCACCGGTTTATAAGACCCTGTAGAACAGCATGAACAAAGAAAACATTTATAGAAAGGTTGTTAAACACCCCTTCCTTCTCACTGGAAAACTCAGGTGCCTCAGAGTCCTTTATGTACGGTATCATAAGGATGAGGTAGGACCAAGGAAGACAGAGTCTGAATGCAAACCCTGTGAGAAAAGGGATTTACCAGCAGCATATCCTGCATTCCCATATACCTTGTTCAAGTACTCCTTACAAGAACTAGCTATTGAAGAATGCATATGTAGATTGCTCCAAAAGTAATGCTGCCTACTTATTTCCATGGAAAACTACAACAGATATAAACAGTACAATAACACTATTTGATAAAGCAAATTCTCAGCAACAAAATACGATTTTTCAACATAATCACATGGGTGCCATTTTTTCCACATGGAAGAATTCAGTGACACACCTTCACTTCATAATCACTTCTGCGTCAGACCACATTCTGTCTGACCACCCCTCTGCTGTCATCTGTCACATGGCAACAAAATGTAATGGGATACTGGTGGGAAGGTTCAGCCTCTACTGCTATACCAGCAACATCCACATCAGATGTTGTGGACCAACATAACAAAATAGGAGGCATAAACTTTCAGAGCAGCCATCATACATAACAAGCGATCCGTCTGTGCAGCAGCCCAGCTCTGCTAGTGGGAGACAGAGAAAAACTTGCTTCTGCTGGCTATCTGCAGAGAAACCTGAAGGGGATCATGCTCAAAGACAAGAAAGGTCTTAAAACCTTCCTCCAAGTAGTACCACATGCTTCCTATTGGTGAAATTTGAAAAGGAGCATTAATGTTAGTACGCTGAAAGTTTTGACATAATAAACACAAAAGCCAGACCACTCTTCTTAAGTGATCTGGATGCTGGTGATACATTAGCACCTTCCTTGACTCCAATAAATTCTTTACTAGAGCTTCGTCTTCAGAGTCTTCCATTATGTTGAGCATAAGCATTAGTGTGCAATCCCTGCTTTTAATTTCATTCGTGCAGGATCAGAGTGATTTATATTGGAGTGACATCCTTACCAAAAGTGGTCCCAATATCCAGAGAGAAAAGTCACAAGACCTAGCTTCTACAGAAGTTTTACAGATACATGCTTTCTGTAGGAGTATTTAACAGCCTTTGAGGAGTAGCAAATACTGAACAACTATTCCTGAGTCAACTGACAGACTAGATTAAATAAAAATGCATACCCCTGCAGCCCTCCTCCAAATTTCTAGAAGCTAAACAGTAAAAACAGTTAATAGATAAGAACGGGGGGAAGGGCAGGGAGAATTTTTTTTGTTACAATATGCAAAGCGAGAAATTTCTCTCACCAAAATAAAATTTCTTTGGTTTTGGCTAGAAAGTGATACTGGTTAACATACCTAATGAAGTACTATCACTTTTGTTCAGGTTTTCCCAATTGAAACACACACTATTTCAGCAGCATACTGTTTGTATGTTACCTTGAATTCCTCCAGCATGTGAGGTACTAGGAAGGCTTTTTGGCTGTACATAAGCCAGTTTGAATGGCGGGACCACAAACGGTACCTCCTGCCCGTCCAGGGGCAGTTTAGAAAGCAGATAATCCTCAGAACAGCCAACTTGCCGCTTCACTGACACTGAAGACAATGGAGGCTGCTGTACAATAGTTGGCTTGCTTGCGGGCACAGCTTCAGATTCCTGCGCCATGGAAACTGCTAAAAATAAAAAGCAAGAAAAACAGACAGTCTACATGTGCATTAAGTTTGGAACAGTACTCTGAACAGATCTCTTTAATAGAATCTGTGCTTGCTACATTACTATTGCTAGCATTCAGTTTTACTAGCATTCAGGACAAGTACCTGGAAAAGATATCTATCCTCATGTCTGTACTAAAACAAATTCTGGTGCCTGAGGCTGTATATTTATAGCTACCTTGCCCTTAAGTTAATTTTACAAGAGGAATTCTGTGCATTTGTATCATAGATCAATTGTGCAAACAACAAAGACACCAAATAAAATTCTGGGGGAAAAAAAAAAAAAAAGCGCTCAGTGCTTGCTTGCAGACAGTTTGCGAGATACAAGACCTTTACATGACCTTAGGCTGATTGGGTTTTTTGTTCTTTTTTTTTTTTTTGTATTTTTGGACAGCATTCCAGGCAAGGAGCAGACTTCAGACCAGTAATTTTTCAGTTCCCATTCCAATTTATAACACTAACAAGCATGTGTCCAATTTCCAAGCAGAGGAATGGAAAGAATTTTGGATATGTAAAAGAATTCAAGTTTATCAAGGGTGACAAAGTCATTTTGTTAATGGGAAATCTTATAATTAACGAGGCCAGAATAGCAAAACCTTTAGTCAATGTGATTTTGTTGAAACTCACAATTGCTTTTTTCTTTTTCCACATAAAAACACCATTTACAGCAGTTTTTAATATATTCGTTCGCCATTGTTTTCGGTGTTGCAACTTAGAGGAAATCGCAATCAACGATCCTCTGCAGCTATCAAACCTGAAAAAGGAAAGTACATTAGATGGGAACAATTAAAATTAAAGTACAATATTAAATATGCAATTTTTAGTTGTACTCAGTCCCTGGGTCAACAGCCATTATGTCAGTCACAAGTGTCAGAGCATTCAGGAACACCAGAATTCTCCTCACATTTGTGTTGGCTGTCAGGCTTTGGAATTCACTCAGCTCTGTATCTGTTTTGATAAGCTTTGGTAAGTTATTTGTAAGATGTGGTTTTTGGTTTGTTTCCCTGATTCATATTTCTTATTCTTTGTCACTCGTGTAGGATCATAACATACATACACATTTACATCTTTGACTGCACACACCATGTTTTACATTTGAAAGCACTCTTTATGAATGATACTAAGATTGTCTTCTTTCACAATTCTTTGAGGAATTACTGCTTTCTCATAATTGTATACACATGAAACCAAAGACCTCCTTTATTATATAATTGTCTGCTTTGTGTACAGAAATAGAGAAAACTGGCTTCCAGCCTCCAGAGAGGCATACTCTACTGAAGAATGAGATCAAGTCCATAACAGCTGGTTAACATTAGAATAACTTTATGACAATAGTAACTGGCCTCATTTAAGTGTCTTTATTCATATGCTGATGTTCTCTTTTCAGAGGGACACAGACAGCTGTGTTGCCTCCTGTCCAAAACTTTGGCTGTCTAGTCATTTTATATGTACCTAAAGTACACAAGGTTCTTTGTAGAACATACCCAAGATTCCAGCTCCATGGTGGTGAGAGGAAGACACCAAATAGAACATGAAAGTAAGCAGGGATGAGGAAAACAAAGTAACAAGAAAGAGAAAGGGGAAGTAGCAAAGAGAGAAGATGACAGTTACACAAAATAGGACAGGTTTGCTTGGCTATCTTGGTTACAGGAAATTACTGGAAGTTTCCGTGCTCCAGCATGGAAGCTACTCCCATCTGCAGCTTGAACAGTGCAGTCGTTTTGTTTGTATGCATATTAAAAGACAGCTAGGAAACCACAGAAACACTGATAAACAGAAATAATACTCATGTCCAAAATATCAACCTAAAGCTTTTCTTTCTTTAAAAGTCTTCTCTTCCTTCTCCCAGATTCATAAGGATACCAAATGGAAATATTAATCTATAGACACTTAATCTACCCTTGAAAACATGCTTTCCTAGCTTACCATCACTTAACCCCAGGGATAGGCACAATTCAGTGTTATCATCAGATGTGTCAGCTTGCAAATAATGAACAAATACAGCAAATACTGACCATTCTTTGGCACTCTATCAGTATGCCTCAGAATTGCTAGGTGCATTATAAGCTATGGGTTTTGAAAGGTCACTCAGAGCATGTGGTTTCATGTGTAAGGCCTGAATTAACCCATTATCTTTAAAAGACAAGTTTGAAATATAATGAAGTTTTGTTACTGTAACTACATAACTGTTTCCAGAATTATTCTTAATTACTTCCTTTAATTGTATACTGCTCTTTGTGCTCAACAGACCAAAATGAACAAGATGCAAGTGACCTGAACAGAAAAAACCCGAGAAGTAGCCTGAAGAATATTGGTACATGTTATTTTGGAAAATAAATTTATTAGGATTGCAAATCTGCCAAAGTGATACCATCAACCACAGAGCCTGCTGCAGCTTTACACAAAATCAGGCACAAGAACCTGTCAAAATTCTCCACATTTCCAATGACCACTGCTCCTCCCTCTGAAGTGCAATCACAGTAGTTACCCGTGCTATAGAACTCAAAGTTCCCATGCAGTGATTACCCTTCCCAGCTGTTATCAGTGCACAGCTGGAGTTAATATGTTTTACTCTTGTTCATCGTGTTTGAACTAGGCTGAAACAGCTGCTTCATTGCTCTCAGCTTTGCAACAATAGTATCTAAGCTTCGGTAGCAGTTTGCTCTGGCAAAACCAATCTTTTATCTCAAAATACTCAGACTACTGGTAGCGAAGGAAGGAAAATGTTAGTAACCACCCAGCTCTCCAGCTACATAAAGTGGAAAAATTAGTTGTTTACATCAGAGAAAATTCACGTCACTGTAGTACTTTCCCCAGAATTACTGAGCTATAGCCATTAACGTAAGCCAGCAAATAAACACAAATCATCACTCACAAACAGTCGCCTTTCCATCACTGAGTGAATGCCTCACTTACAAAGAAAGTTGATATCATTGTTGTTGATCTAAGAGTTACACTGTAATTCTGTATCTTCTGTACTAATTACATTTGAAAAAAGTTGTGATTCTTAGACCATAACATTCCCCTCCCCTGCCCACTGAGAAGCAAGGAAACATTCATACCTTTCTTCCTATTTGTAGACAAACATAAAAGCAATTCACCACTGCCTCTTGTAGAGAAGAGTACACTGTAATATTGCTGTTTCCAGATTTCAGCTTTGAAGGTGGGTGATATTGGTAACCAACAGTAGAGTGTACAGACAGAGTTTGGAGTTTCCAATTCCCTTTGAGCTTAAATACAGCATTTGAAAAGAAAGTTCAGACTGAAACGCTGTCTGAACATTTCTTTGTGCTTAAAAATGTAATGGTTTGAAAGACAGTCACAAAACGTGCACCTGTATTGCTACTCTTACCCCACAGACACGTTACAAAAACAAAACAAAACCAAAAGGATAGCATTTGCTGAGGAACCAAACATTTGATTTGAAGTCTCCCTTGTGCTGCTTAGAGCACTTTGTTCATGAAATCACAACACAAATGGTCTAAATTGCTTTTAAAATTTTTATCCACTTAATTGAGCTACGAGGAGAAGTGTATTTGTGTACTGTTGTTGTTTTGTTCAGAAGAGCAGTTCATTTATTATATTTTATCTGTATTTTTCAAGTTGCCAGTGACTTGGCAACAATTTTCACAGTACGTTAAAGTTTTGTCTTAACCACGTGGGACAAATGAGCAAATGAAGTGTTGTAGAAGATGAAACAAATACTTACTAATCTTCTATAATGTCAGCTACTCAAAAACCTTCAGTGTAACACTTAAGAGTTGTTAAAAGTTTTTACTAATGTACATCTGTGTGGGAATAAATTTACCAATAGAAACAGAACTGTACAGACATGTATTAGGTATGGCACTGAACTACAGAGAAGTACCAACCTCCCGTCACTGCCATCCTTGCTAACAAGGAGCTGGGACTCTGATCCTAACTCTAAGACTTGGGGTCAGTTTTTGTCAGTCAATACATTTACATCACAGATTTTGTTCATTTTGAAGATACTAGACTGAGAAAAGGACAGGAGGAAAAGGAGAATTATTCCTGGTTTTCAGGCAAAAATAGAAGAGGTAGAGAAATCACATAACTTGCAGCAGACCTCATTATTGTCTCAGATTTTCTCTCTTGATGTTCTTCACTATGATTTCAGTAAGCTTTTTCATTTCTCTCTTCCCATTATGAACCCAAAATAAGATCAAATTTAACTCAGCAATCATCCTTCCACACTAATGTAGAAAGCCAATATTATTGGAATATACTGGAAACAAAGTATAAAAGTAAACCACACACATACACAGAGTCCAGAGAATTATAGTCAGTATTATTTTAATGGGTTTAGATGGAGAACATAAATTATCTTAATGACTTCCAGATTCCTCTGATAGTTTTGAATGAGCTAAATCAGATAAACAGCATTGAAAACTTCAGTTCCAGATGCCACCAGAATGACTACAAGACAGAGATGTTTGAAGAAAAGAGCAAATATTTTCAACAACTCATTAAATAAAAAAAACATGATAGAAAATGGATCATTGTGATATTAAATATTAAAAGCTGAAAGGAGTCTCAAAAGAAATGTCAGGTCTTTGCTCCCTTATGATGAAGGGGTGCATTTTGCAGCAAGTTTGCAGGCTACATTAAGTCAGAATTCTGCTGATCAGGTAACACATTTAGAACTATGCAACAGAAACAAAGGTGAAATATCTGATCCCGAACTGGGAAAGCTGGCTAAACCAAAGATTTCAATCATTATGAGATTTATTGCCAGCCATAAACTTATAAAACACATTCTCAGGTCTGTGTTCCAGAAACACGTCACAGCAGCATTTCTAGTAGCTTAAAGTCCTCACAAAGCAAGAGGTGTAAAAGAAAACAGCCGGAAATTGGGATGATGGGTTCTTATTAGACATTTGGGACAGATCCTTGAATGACATAAGTGTCTGCAGCTCCAGTAGCCCCAAAGGAACAACAGCTGAGGAACCTCCCCATGGAGAACGCAAGCTCAGGCTTGCAGTTTCACACCCCAGCCAAACACTGCATTTGCACTAGGTCTTTGCCTGTCTGTGTTTCAGACACACGAGATGCAGTTGATCCCAATTGCAAAATTCCTTCAAAGAGCTTAACAACACCACTGCAGGCCTCCTGATGATTAAGGAAACAGAGCATAGCAATAGCTGCTTCTACTGCAGGTCAGACAGATTCTGATGGCTTAGATTCTACAAATGATTTAACTTCCAGGACTAGTTGCTTAGTAGTTCTATTGCTGGAGGATAAGGTCTGGGAACTGCAGGCTGGTCTGAGCATGGCTCTTCATTTGAAGAGGGGTTAGGGTCAGTGTGTCTAGAAACAGGTGAACACTGGTAAAACATAGTAAAACTGCATAAATAGTTCTCAGAAATTTGCCCTCAGGGACTTTGCTACTGTGTGAGCAAGGGTGGTGCACACACCCACACCCACACGGACATGCAGCGCAAGCATACACTCACCAAAGTTATAATGTTCCTTTTAGGAAAGGGTGATCGTAAGCAGGTCTGATCTGTCACGTCCATAAAGGACGCAGAGGCACTTCAAGAAGGTTTGAAAGTGTAAGTAGGCAGGACAATGCGTTTTTGTTGTTATTCATCATAAACCTTGGCAGTCGTATGTTGCCTGGGAGGAGAGGAAAAAAATAATGTCATGCCAACACACACCTGCAAGGAGCATGATAAGAAGCTCATATCTACACCTGTTTTAGGAAAACCCTCTAAGTGATATCTGCAATAACTA